ATATATATTTATATATTTATATATTTATATATATATATATATATATATATATATATATATATATATATATATATATATATATATATATATATATATATATATATATATATATATATATATATATATATATATATATATATATATATATATATATATATATATATATATATATATATATATATATATATATATATATATATATATATATATATATATATATATATATATATATATATATATATATATATATATATATATATATATATATATATATATATATATATATATATATATATATATATATATATATCATACATTATATATTTCGGAAATAAAATCGGATCGGAAATCGGAATTTTCAATAATTTTATATGAAATTCCAATTCCGTTCCAAAAATAATCGGAAGAATCGGAAATCGGAATATCGGAAATCGGAATGAAAAAACGGGTTCCAAATTCGGATATTTTCGGATTGGAATTGGCGGAATTCGGAAATTCCGTTCCAATTTACACCCCTACTAGAAACACTACGTCTACTTCCCAACAGTTTAAAAAGAATGGGGGTTTTCGTAGGTACTTACCTCAAGGAGGCAAATTGTAATTTACCATAAAATTAAGGGTAAATTACAAACACCCCCTGAGGTATGGTCAAATTACAAAAACATCCATCTTGTTTGGATAATTACAACCACCCCTCAATTCATCAAATTTAGTGGAATCTTCGAGATTATATGGAATATTATCACTTTTGTACCCGTTTTATCCCATTCAAACTCTACATTATGAAGCAAGATGACCATAATTCGTGCTTTTTAGTTTTTATAAATCAATTCGGGTTACTATTCGGTATGAAGCAAGATGACCTTAATAAGTGATTTTTAGCTCGTATATATCAGTGAAGAAGCATCGGAAACTGTATTTAAACACAAAAAGAGTAAACTAGAGCAAATTTCACGGAATCTAGATGGATATGGCGAATTTGGCACCATAAAGGTGGAGGTCTAAGAAAAAATCATACTTGAAGGGGGTAGATGTATTATCCAAACAAGAGAGGGGTTTTGTAATTTGACCATACCTCAGGGGGGTGTTTGTAATTTACCATAAAATTAATAAAAGAACGGTTCCTTCGATGCTACACCC